ATCCGAATATATTTCTACAAAACAATCTGAATTTCTATCCTATTGTACAAACACATTCAAAAAGGTAGGAAACGAGCAATTCAAGGTATTACAATAGCATGGCACTTGATACAGCCATTTATCATTTAACTTTCCCTTCAGCAGTTTGTTTTCAAGAGTCTGTCTCTGCATGTGAATAAAACAGTTCTCAGGATTTCTTTTATATTTCATACACATAACCTGCAGTGCTTGAGGGTTTTTCAGGAAGCTTTGGAGAGACTGAACTGATCTCAGCAAGAATTATAGTAAGTGATTGTAGTGCTGGGCTTGTGGACAATTTCTATTCATATTTGGACTTCTTGACCCTTCCTTTTCAGATTGGGGTCTATACAGTCAACCACAAGCACAATCTTTACAGCAACTTCTCAACATTAAATCCAGTAAACAATGCAAATTAATTTCTAATGTGCAAAAAATGTTTTTCATATTTTATGAAGCTGCTTTGTGAAGGGAGGATATGCTTATTATACATGTTTCCTATTGTCTGTTTATATGTAGTTGTACACATATATTTATAAACCCCACATGAAAAAACACATAGCTGTTTTCTGTCTGGCATGGAATTACATATTTTCTTTCCCTTAGTTTTGTTTGTTTGTTTTTAAGGCAACACCTATAACACAAACACGTTGCCGCCTTGTTTTTTTTTTACATCAGGGAAAAGCCTAAAGAAGTCAGCCAAGACATTCAGAAGTATTGTACATCTTCACAACTCTGATTCATTCTTACATGCAATTTCCAGATTTCTAAAGGCGCTGCGATAATCTGTTCCAACAGCTACATGCAAGAATAAACAACACGGCAATGTCCAGAACATCTTGTTCTGTTTTTTTTTTTTTTTTGGTGTGAAATATTGATACTAGAATAAAAGCAAAAGACCTTGTGAAGATAAAGATGATCAGATGGCATCCTTTTCCATAGCGAATTGAGTTCTGTGCCAACTTCTGCTGAAACCACTCAGACTGAAAGAAGTCATTCATTCAGTAACATAGGAATCCAGATTACAGTTTGCAAATGCATTCAGAGACAAACTCCTTCATTTTTGGAGACTTGTCCTGTGATCTGATGAAACTAAAACTGGAGTACTTTGCCATACTGGCCATTGCAACATTTGAAGTGAAAACACTGAATCTGGGGGTGACGGCGTCATCTGTCATCATCGTTTAGCTGTTGCACTTTACAGACTAAATAGAACTACGAGGAAAAGAACATGATATGGAAACATTGAAGCATCTCAAGTTATGCAAAGTAAATGGGTCTTCTAAGTGGAAATTGACCCCAAGCATACGGCCAGATCAGTTACAAAGTGGCTTAAGGACAATAAAGTTGATGTTTTGTAGTGGCCATGGCAAAGCCCTGCTCTCTGTCCCATTGAAAACTCAAGTTCATTTGACAGAAATGGATATTAAAGCATGCATATATCCAATGTGTGCCAGATTTACTCTCTAGATACTTTTCTTTATCAGTACATATGGAATTATTGGCAATAGAGATAAAGATGTGTATAGCAGACTTGTAATTAGTTCTTTAATTATCATCTTTTTAAGATATTGTAAAGTTTAGATGTGAGCCAGTTGTCCTATCCCCATTTCCCGATTCATAAATATAATAAACATCTGCACTACTTGGAGGCCAGGTACTCATGTTGTTGAGGAAGTAGCTGAAAGAACTACATCTATGTAATGCAATATGCACATTACCGAGAAACCTGGATTAAGCTTGATCCTTAGAATGACTTAAAGGTGCGCCAAAGGGTATGTTAATATAGGATTTCTTTTCACCTATTAAATGTAGTATAAGTTGGTAGTCTAAGGTTACGCTTTTGCAATAATGGATTAATTTATTTTAAGCCTTTCAACACATCTTATCCACTGGTGGAAATAATGTCTAAAGGTTTGTTCCTTTTAACAATTTCATAACTGCTTAAGAAAAACTCTTATAGTACTGTGTTTACTGTGTTTACCAGGTATAAACTAACCCACATGCGCTAAATATATTGTATGCTTGGATAATAATTGAAAAATATGTCGTTTGTATGAGAAAATGTTGCCCTCCACTTTTTTACATTTTTTGCAGCTGAGAGCAGCTACTAAAGTGTACGCACCAGAAATTGAAATTGACACTTAACCTGGTTGTTTACCTCCTACATCCTTTCTGATGAAACACCAACAGTGCAGAGAAGAGGAAACAGCAGGCTCATTGGGTGGTAAATGCTAGCGCTCAGACACTTTTGCATCAAAACACATGCGTAACTCTGCCTTGTGGCTTTGTTTAATCAGAACAGAGTTAAAAAAACAAGTGCTGTCTTAGAAAATTGTGTTTAACCTATAAATAGGATTTTGTATTGTATTGCATAGTGATGTGTCACAATAGGTGACACATCACTATGCTGAAGCTTGCCAAGATGTATAAGGACAAGGACAGCTAGTAAAATCAGCAGACATTTTAAAGGCAGATTTGTCAGAATTCACTCAACATTGGCTCTTTATATCAAGATAAAAAAAAATAAAATAAATAAACAAGCAACACTAAAGTTGTGGTGCAGTACTCAGATTTTTTACACCTCCTGACTTACCCAAACTTAAGCAGCTGATAAATGCAGTCAATTTCTGACTAGGTCCACATTTGGGGAAAATGTAGTATTTTCAGAAATCTTACTAGTCTCATTTTTCACATATACAACAACTAAAGTATCATTGATTTACTGCAACAACGCTGATGCTGCTTTATAGATACTGCTCTTGCACCCTCAGTGCCAGCAGAATGACACTGACAATTTTTATGTGGCCCGGCAGCCAACTTGCAGCCGAAATAAATCTAACAATGGGATATTTATTGTATTGGCTCCCACGCTCCACTCCAAAAGAAGTTGGAAACCAGAAAAAAAAATTAAAGCAGAATATCTGAGTAAAAACGTTGTAAACCACCAGGCTTGTTAAGGTCGTGACAGCTCACCTGGCGTGTGCCAGAGGCTCCAAATCCATTCAATAAGATGAAGAGGAACAATCCCAGTTGTTTGTCTTTCACGGAGAATCCATTAAAAAGTTCCCTCTCCATTGGTTTATTGTGCATTCTTCTTGTACCCAATAAATCACGCCTCTGTCTTGGGTGTCTGCCTACTGTGCTCTCCTATTTGTACTGCGCCGCTCAGACAACATCCGTGGCACAGAATTATCTTGTTGCACAGGATGATGATGGTAAACATCAATCAAAGAAAACTGCAAAAATCAGTACATTCGTTAAAACATTTTGCACAGCGAGGATGACCAAAGAGTTAAATCTCAGAAGGAATAAAAATAAGCAATGTAACTTATTTTTTTTGTTTGTGGATTCTTACGCTGACAAATGACAAATAAATGAACCTGAAAATAATAAAGTATAACGATAAAGTAAAACCATAGTTAAAACATTGTCAGACTTGATTATTGAATAAAGCAAGACCGAATCATAACTTTTAAGTGCAGATGCGTTGTTTGAAATGTGAACAAACATGAAAATGATTAAGCAGTGATCATTAATCTATTTATCATGACATTTAATCACAGTTACCAAAATGTAACTGGATCCATACATTTCAGGAATACAGGAAAAAAAAAAGTTAGACTCGTTCCAGTAGTTGATGAACAGAAACTGATCTTCCTACAGTAGTAGCACATTGGTTTGTGTTTCATGATTTGCTCTGAAGTCTGTCTTTCCTTATTTCAACCATCAGCAGGCATAAGCACAACTACATTAAAGAAATTTTTCAAATCTACAAAGTTTCAAGGCTACTCAGCCTTGAGACTCTGAATCTGGTGTGTGTGTATATATATATATATATATATATATATATATATATATATATATATATATATATATATATATATATATATATATATATATATATAGTTTCTTATCAGTTTGCCAGCTTGTTTATGCTGGCATTCTGCGACAGTTGGAAATGTGTGGATGATATTGAGCAGCATCTCAACATTTTTATGTAAAATATTCTTAGCTGAATTCCAAAATAATTTTTAAAAAGTTCTTAATCCATAAATAGTTAAATCCTCACTATAAATTTAATTTTGCTCATCTCGTTTGTCTTTTGTTTAAAAATAAACAATCCTTTTAAAATAGAAAACTTTATTTATTTATTTTTTACAATAAGAATCTGACTGATGGATAAAAAGTATTTGTGCAAATATTTTTTACGTTCCAAGTTTTGTTATCCTGGAAACAAAGTTCCTTGAGCTCAATTTAACTTTCAGAACAGACATGAGGCAAAAGCTAAAACGAGAACCATACCCCAGCTTCATTGCAGCATTCAAATGAGGGCACTGAATTTGAATGAGTAAGTATCCAATTTCAGAATCACCAGACATCGACCCTCTCACTGCCTACAGAGGCATCAATTTGCTGCCTCACATACTTTGTACCCGCAGGGCAGAGATTAAACGTGAAATTATTGGACATCTGTCATATTTAAAAAAAAAAAAAAAAATTTGAAATGTCCCTGGGTCTTTTGAGACTATGGAGGAATTAAATTACAAGAACTTGACAAAGTGAGAGCAGGTGAGGCACCCATTGACTGCGTAGATGCTCCTGGATCAAAAGTATGAAAATCAGATGCTTTACATGGAATTCTAGCGTTTAGTCTCAGGATCTGCTTCTCCTTTAGAAAAACTTTGTACAACTTCAGTGTCATGCATATCTACATCTCTATCCATTTTCTGTTTTCTTTCTCTTATTGATCCTGTCCTAACTCACTTGGTGACAGTGATAAAAAAAAAAGAAAAAAGGCTATTGATTTTGAGCTTGCAGTTTGTTTCTTTGTTTTGTTTGACACTTCTTATTGGCTGAATCTCTATACTATATGAATCTGTTTTTGCAGGCAAGCACCTTTTTTATCAATGTAATTTAGAAGTGCTTTTCAAATGCAATTAGAACTTCATGAGCTTTCCTCTTCCATTCTCTTCCTTTAGCTTTATCCTGACCATGGTAGGGGAGTTTAGATCCCGCTTTACATACTCCGACATAGAGGACCCTCATTGAAGATCTGCAGTCTGATTAATTACTTCTTTAACTGGCTCTGCGTCAGGGGCCACCAGAATGTCGACTTAGGACAGGCTTGATTTAAGCTCTAGCAGCATTTTACCCACATTGCCAAGAGGAAGGTCAGCACAATGGAGTCCACAGAGAGCAGGAGCAGAAGGGCACGGGACTTACATGTAACACTACATGATAGATGCAGAGGAGGATTCAACAATCCTATAGGGAGAAAAAAGATCAGCCTCAAAGCTACACATAAATAAAAATATATTATTTACAGAGGCATAAATGTAAAGTTATCAACGTTTAATTTTTTTTTTATTTAAAGGTAATTTGTCAGTAAGAAGTTTACATGAGCTCATCGTTGGTTGTTTGATGCAACATATACAACTGCAATACATTTTTAAAACAAAAACTAGGGTGATTAAATTTAATTTCAATGCAGATCATTTGTAATCTACTCAGGGTCAAACACGCCACCCTCTCCCCTCACACACACGCAAACAGCCATACATTTTTGGATAGATGTTCCTTATTAAATTACAGAAAAAAAATCACCAGTTTCTAGAAGGTTTATAGAAGGTTCTGGTATAACTTTGGAAAGAGACTTGTCCACATTTATTTTTAGAACTGATGGAGAACTGGTGGATGTTTTCCTGCCACAGATTTGGATTTTTGGGACATAGTTTACACATTTCCAATGGGTTTGATCTCAGGGCCATTCTGTAAGCTTTTTGTCTTCTTAACCTATTCAAAGATCAGTTTTGTTAATATACCTGATCGTGTCACATTGTGAAATAAAATTGGTAAAAAATCTTTAAGAACAATCCAAGAAACAAAAAGTATCAAATTTGTCACAACCTGAAAGATGCTGGAAAAACAAGTGCCACAGTGTCAAGTGGAGTATTTCAAATTTAAAACTGTAAAACATGGTGCTGGCAGCATCATGCTGTGAAAGCTTTTTTGCTTTCAGTGGTACTGGTGCATTGCAAACATCGAGTCAAAGCAGTCCAAAAACAGTTCCCCAATCCCACTGAATGTTATTTGACTTTGCTGGATACTTGCTAGGAAAGCAACTAAATGAACCCAATCTGCTAAAAAGGGTGTTAAAATATCCATTGATGATGACAAAAAGCATGCAGTTTCTCTGCAACTTGCTAAGAACATTTATCCTAACTTTAGTGGGACTGTAGTAATATTTTGACGCTTTGTGAATTAGATAAAACTTTACTGCTTCTATCTTAAACTTGTCCTCTTTAAGCAAAGTCATAAGTCAGTATTTCTAATCCATTTCCTTTCTTTAGCTCTGAGCAAGGTGCAGAAATGGTTCTCAGAGGATTGAATAGGGCTTTTTTGTGCAAATCGCCACGATAAGGGATGATTTATTTAGATGCATGCTAAAGCCACAATTTAAAAATAGCCTATAACCAGATAAGATAGCACAGTTTACACCTGCTAAAGGGACGCAGTGCACCAATAATTTATCATTTTTCTGACACGCAAAGATGAACAGAACAATAGGCGAGAATACATTGTTTGCTTCTCTGCAGTTTCTTTTGGCTTTATAAAATTTAGAAGTATTCATGTGCAGGTTTTGAATTGAAGCAATAGCTGACCCAATTAATCCTCCTCTCCAAAGCTGCGATGGCACGTAATAATTTTGTTCAAGCATCTTATAGTGAATTGAAAAGACAAAACAATGAATCACCTGCTCCGTCTCTCCCTGGGACCCACTACATTATTTCCTCCTTAAGCGTTACCATTGCTCTCCTCTCTATGTTTGACGTAAGGCACAATTATTTCTTGAGAACAAGCATTTTTCAGGTTGTAATAGCGTTTCTCTCAGATGTACCAATTTACTGCATAATACATCCCCAGTCAATCTTAAAAAAAAAAACAAAAAAAAAAAACAGAGTAGCTAATCCTGTCCCAATTAGACAATGACTGAACAACATGGATCAGTGAGGTTTTATCATTGTTTGATAACTATTTTTAATCCAGTCTTTCAGATAGCTTTGAACATTTTCCCATGAAGACAAAAGTCATACAGAGAAAAATAACAATAAACAAATCAGGATAAAACTGCAAGTCCTGCTTCATTTTTGAGTTTTTGTCATGCAAGAAGAAAATTAATTTTCTTTTCTAAGCTGCCTACATTTGAAGTCACTTTTTGTTGCCCTACTGCAGTGGTTCCCAAACTTTTTCTTCTGCGCCCCCCCCCCAGTGGTTTCCAAACATTTTTTGTGCCCCCCCTATGGATTACAAATAGCTGTCTGGTTGTCTGGTTGAAACGACGCGTGTGGGGGGTGGGGGGTGGGCATCGACTTTTTTGGGGGCAAAATGAATGTACGTAGCTGAAAATAGACACCAACATCGGTAGCCTACAAGGTACTTGTTAAGCTTGTTAAGCTTAAGGTTCTGTATTGATATTAGCTAGTCATCTTTTAGCTAACATTAGCTAGTCATCTTTTAGCTAACATTAGCTAGTCATCTTTTAGCTAACATTACCTGCATCCAACAGTTTTACTCAACTCAGTCGGTTAGTTTGGAGGGAAAAACTGTGAAGAGTTCTTTGCGTT